AAATGAAGTCGCATTCAAGTCACATGCTTCTTAAATTATTAAAATAAAAAATTTAATTATAGCTTAAATCGAAATAAAAGCTATAATCGAAATCTAAATGGAATCAAATTTAATTAAATTAAGTAAGGTAATTTCATATTCATAATCAAATTATCATTGCAATCACACACACATATACATATATACAGTATTATCAATGAATTAATAGGTGCATTTTAAAAATACACTATTATTTAAATATGATAAGAATTTTCATTTTAAGATCATGATTTGTACATTTGTTTCCCTTGGTCAGCCTTACACCCTTTAAGAAGATGTGACTGATGCTGATTGATTTAATTTTTCCAAGAATATCTCTCACTCTGTCGTTCAGTGTGTGTGTGTGTGTTGAGAGTGAGTGGAAGGCCACACAGTTAAACAGGAAATGGGGGTGACACTACACTGACGTATAGAGCACAGAGGTTTGTGGGTAATACTGACACAGTAATACACAGTGTGTGTGTGTTGAGAGTGAGTGGAAGGCCACACAGTTAAACAGGAAATGGGGGTGACACTACACTGACGCATAGAGCACAGAGGTTTGTGGGTAATACTGACACAGTAATACACAGAGTCGAATGCATGTAAATCAACCTTCACGTTTTTCACACAATTTTGTATTTCATAACAGTGTCATCAGAATGATATTTCCACCTGGGCTTTGTGAGGTTTATGGTTAATTAGTCATGTTTGTTGTGTCCTTCGAATAAAAAGTTCAGTCATTACTAAAATATACCACAAGCTTTCAACGAGCATGTAGCTATAATGTAAAATGCCTTTCATTCTATACAGCTAAAAACAAATATTATGCAAACCGACTTTTTTTTTATTGTTAAATATTTGAAAGGAAAATATTTCTCTTTATGTGTCACACAAAATTAAATTCTGAAAATTAAATGTAAAAAAAAATTTAACCATCAAACATGTTTAGTAATATTTTTTAAATATGTATTTTAAATATTAATTAACATTGATATGATGATATATTCAGTATAGTAATATATTGTATAATAAGACTATAATACAATAAGCTGGCTGATAATTGGCTGATATGGACTTAAAATGTGAAGATACATTTTATGATCATCAAATATACTGTAATGCAACTTACCAGTGTTTTAAGGTTATGAACTTCAAAAATCAACAGAAAAATAGCAAAAGGTACTAGTAATTTTCTGTCAGGACATTACACGTTAATTTTAAGGACATTTTCTTTAATCCTGAAACACACTGCATTGTGTAATTGAAATTATGGAAAAAAACGCCCATGAAAAATCAATATGGAAAATTCCATTATGTTAATACAGGGCCTGTTTTTGCATATTTTCTTAGAGTGCAGTTTTGCGTTTTCCTTATTCTACATCTAAACTGAGCGTCTTTCAAGTGTCTCTGTATTTGTTTTTACTGTTTGTTTTATCACAGCCTCACTGATCATTATCAACCGCACTTATGAAGGTTTCTTGAGTCAGAAGGCTCTCGAGTCTCAGATGAAGGAAGTGCCAGACATTTTTATGCAACTGGCGCGTCATATTCAGCTCTAGCCTTTCGTGGCTTTGCATCATGACAAAACAACTCGGTGGTACATTGACTGTGATTTACACTCTACTTACGATCGCAATCTCGAGTTCAACTCACCGGTGTGATTGTCTGGAAGCAGATGATCAATCTTTTCTTTCATTTCCACTCATTTGACTATCAATATCAGTGAGTAATTCATCCTAATTTAGTAACGCACTCGAATGAGGTGGGCGGCGGAGGATGGAGGTTTCGTTTGCCTCAGTTGGAAAGTGGCTTTAATTTGACTTTGCCTTGTATGACTAAAGCAAGTGAAATTTGTGAACCACCAAAAAAAAAAAAAAAACGCCCACGGTCGGCATAGTGGCATATAGAGTGTCTGAGCTGTTCTCATCGAGTGTTCGGAGGACAGAGAGAGCTGAGCAAAAAACATTCCGGTGAGTCACAAACACACCGACCTTCAATAACGTGGCACTCTTCACTGAAATGCAACTTATTCTAATATTACTTGAATATCAGGTGATTATTTTGAATCGGTCAGTGTTTGTTTGTAGGGTAAGTCTAGTTGAAAGGCTTGAGAATGGCTTTGTCCAATCACACGTTGTTTTGAAATGAAATGAAATGAAATGCTTTAAGTACTGAGATTTGTTGTCTAAATGTCTAAACATCTAATTGAAATGTTTAATATGCTGAAAAAAAATGCTATAAGAAATTTTATTTTTTTTGTATTTAAGTATTTTCTTGTAAAACATCCTCCAATAATCGTTGCAACTTCAAAACATTTTTTTAGTAGTTACTTAAGACTTACAGTAAGTTGCTGAATTTTGTTTTTTAATTATTTTATTTATTTATTTTTTGACAATTTCAGTTTTGTATATGCAGTTCAGCAAAACCACACAGTAAAAAAAAAAAATTTTTCAAAGCTATAAATAAAACAAAAATCACTGGAGTTTGTTTGATAATACCATTTCTGTTCTTTTTTTACTTCAAAATGTCATATTTAATTCAGTGTTACTTTGCCTTTCTTTATAATTATCTGTCAAATTTACTAGCGATTTCTGAGAAAAATTTGGTTCCCCACCAAATTATTTTCAGTGCATTTGATTCTACATTTTTAGTTACATTGATCAATGTTTGTGCAATAACTGTTTGTTTGTTTACATGAATGCCTGTTAACTTTTCTAATCATGTGTTTCTAATCATCTTGCTGCTGATGCATGTTTTCTAAAAGTTTGTTATTTGAATTTCTCTTTCCTTCCTTTTTAGTAATTGACATGATTACTTCCATACAGATAATCTTTATAATAAATCTGATGTGCAGCGTACACGTTCCAGCCGTGTAATATGAACTAATTTAACATTGAGTAAACTGGACAGGGAAATCAATTTGTTCTTGGAAATGACCGTGTAGATGGTCTGAGGTGGCCATCAATTTCACCGTGAGTAAGAAAGAGAAAAGCTGTTATCCTCCTGCGAAGTGCAACACGTGCTCTTGCGGGATGAGATCCTCTCCTGTCTGCATTAACAGCTATTGCGGGTGTGTTTGTGTGTGTGTGTGTGTGTACGTGAGTGTGGATCTGTATGAATGATGGTGTGCAGGATGGGACATGCCCCTCCATCCCCGCTGCTCTCTGGGAGGCGCAGGTGCTGTATTAGGATGAAGAGAGTGTCAAACAGGACCAAAACAGAATGAAATAGAAAAGGAAAGGACAAAGGAAAGACAGAAAACTGGACAGGGAAATCAATTTGTTCTTGGAAATGACCGTGTAGATGGTCTGAGGTGGCCATCAATTTCACCGTGAGTAAGAAAGAGAAAAGCTGTTATCCTCCTGCGAAGTGCAACACGTGCTCTCGCGGGATGAGATCCTCTCCTGTCTGCATTAACAGCTATTGCAGGTGTGTTTGTGTGTGTGTGTGTGTGTGTACGTGAGTGTGGATCTGTATGAATGATGGTGTGCAGGATGGGACATGCCCCTCCATCCCCGCTGCTCTCTGGGAGGCGCAGGTGCTGTATTAGGATGAAGAGAGTGTCAAACACGACCAAAACAGAATGAAATAGAAAAGGAAAGGACAAAGGAAAGACAGATAGAGCAGTTGAGCTGCTCACTGAATAGTTTTGCTGATGGAAATTGACTTTTGACGCAAAGGTGTTTGTTTGATTAATTAGAGGTTTTGGTTTAAGTATTATTCACATTTTGGATGTTGTTATTTGTTATTAATTAGGACAACTAACAATGTTAGTTGTTATTAATATTATGATTTTAAGTATATTTTATGTTTATTATATTAATATATTTAAATAATGTTCTTTTAGAATGTTATAATAAAATAATGCTATGCTGTTTAAATAAAGTTAAATAAAAAATTCTGTCAGGGTTTTTGGAATGTAAAGTAATATATTTGACAAGCTATGCTTAATATTCAATTATTTTCAAGATTTTTTTATTTTAAAGATGAGGTGACAATATTTGTACTTTCAGTTAAAACGGCAGACTACTTAAGTGAACTGCTAAAAAGCTAAAATTGGTTAAATCTGAACTCTTCTAACATCGTAGGATCCTCAAATCAAAGTGCATAAATGCATGTTTTTTTCTGAAAGGGTTACTTTAGTAAAGTAATAGTTACAAATAATCAGATTTTTTTTATTATTTTGAAATTGATATAAAATATAAACGCATACAAATTCATCCACAAACCTAATTAAAGTACCAAAAACGATAAATCTTATAAGTTCTTTTACTGAAAATGTGTCATAAAATGTCAGTAGTGGGATGAAAAGAAAAGCTGACCAGTTTCAGCACCTACAATATACATTTAAATGTTTTAAACCATGACTCTTCATGATGAAAACAGGTTATTTGTCAACTACCCTTTTATGTGGTTGATGATATAAGGACGATTGACAAAAAAAGCTAAAGCAAGAAGTGTTTTCAGTCAGTTTCTCTCTCTCTCTGACAATATTTGTACTTTCAGTTAAAACGGCAGACTACTTTAAGTGAACTGCTAAAATTGGTTAAATCTGAACTCTTCTAACATCGTAGGATCCTCAAATCAAAGTGCATAAATGCATGTTTTTTTCTGAAAGGGTTACTTTAGTAAAGTAATAGTTACAAATAATCAGATTTTTTTTATTATTTTGAAATTGATATAAAATAAAAACGCATACAAATTCATCCACAAACCTAATTAAAGTACCAAAAACGATAAATCTTATAAGTTCTTTTACTGAAAATGTGTCATAAAATGTCAGTAGTGGGATGAAAAGAAAAGCTGACCAGTTTCAGCACCTACAATATACATTTAAATGTTTTAAACCATGACTCTTCATGATGAAAACAGGTTATTTGTCAACTACCCTTTTATGTGGTTGATGATATAAGGACGATTGACAAAAAAAGCTAAAGCAAGAAGTGTTTTCAGTCAGTTTCTCTCTCTCTCTGTTTCAGTAGATATCAGGATGTCTAAAGCCGTCGAGGATGACAAGATGGGGATTGAGCTTCCAGTGGACAGTACAGGTAAAAATCAATATTACGATTGATTATTGAAGGTCTGTGTGAGCCTGGATGCTTTAAGGTGTAGTAGAAATGTATGTTATGTGTATTATCTATAAAATCACTATAATTATTGATATTAGTATGTGAAATCGTGAAGATGGAGAGGTTTGTGTGTAGGTGTGATGCTATTGTTGGAGAGAAACACTGCGTGTGTAAGCATGTTTTATCATGTATACTACTATGATTCTCACATTTTCCACTTGGTCTGAATCACACACAGAACACTTTAGTCAGCCATGGCCTCAATCTGACACACACACACACACGCATACATAGCAGCATAAAGTAACCCAGGTTAAACGCTTCATGGTATTCCAATAATGCAGTGCCTCTGGCAAACCAGACCATGCTTTTGTTGATGTGAGGGCTGGAGCCTGAGGCAATATTCTGACCTGATGTGTCCTTCGTGTGTGTGTGTGTGTGTGTGTGTGTGTGAGAAGTGAAGTGACATGACATGTGTGTGTGTCTCTACAGACTCCGAGAGGAACAGTCCGGAGGCCAGCGATCAGGTGTGTGAACATATTTTAGTGCATATGTTTTATTAGTTGTTTGATGTCAGTGAATGTGTTTTAATAAAAAAGAAACAAAAAAAGATGTTCATGAGAGGTTCTCCAAAACCTTGACCATCTACATCAGGGTTGTCAAAGATTTGATTTTGAGGAAAAACAAAATAGAGATATTTAGCATATCTGACAAAAGATGCTAAAAACCATTTATATTATATTAACCAACAGATCAAACCTTTCTTTTAATTACATGCAGCATTCGTCATTTGCAAATGTCATCCCAGGTGAATGCAGGGACAGTCCCGTGGCTAACCTGTTCATTTTCCCACTTGAGAAGTTTGAAGTTTGGACAGATGCAGTGAAAAGTGTGATGATTAAAAAGTTCACAGTTGTTTGCAAGTCTCCACTGAATGAATATTGAACAGGGTGTATTAATACTGTTACACTCTTAAAAATACCGGGTTTATTTGCATCTGTGGTTCCATGAAGAACCTTAAAAATCCATGGAACCTCTTCATTGCACAAAAGGTTCTTTCAAGTGGGAAAAGGTTGTTTAGATCATTCATATGATAAGAACTGATCACTGAAATGTTCTTTGAGAAACTAAAAATGGTTCTTCTATGGCTTCACTGCAAAAAAACATGCTTTTGCAACCTTTATTTTTAGTGTGGATGGTTCCATGTAGAATCTTTAACAATCTTTACATTCCACAAAAGGTTCTTTATAGTGGAAATGTTTCTTTAGGTTATTGAAATGTTTTGTTTTTTTTGCACTAAGAAAAAATTTTTATTTTAAGAACTGTTCACTGAAAGGTTCTTTAAGAACCTATAATGGTTCTTCAATGGCATTGTTGCGAAAACCTTTTGTAACGTTTATTTTTAAGAGTGTATTTGACTGAGAACCAGACCTTTAATTCAACATAGTTACTTTTTAAGCTTAAAATTGTGATATGTTCAATTTTTCCTGTCTCATTCAGACCCAGCCAATGAAAACAAGTCCTTTCTGCCTGTCACCCGCACCCAGCAACACAAAGGTGTGTATGTGTGTGTGTGTGTGTGTTAATGCCTATTTAGTTACGTCTGTTTTTGCTCACTTGGAAGCCCTCAGGTAATTCTCCATTAACATTGTAATATGCAAATGAGAGTCATTTTGAGCTGCATTCCTAACAAGATGCCAGACGAGATACGAGAGGGAGAGAGAGAGGGAGGGAGGGAGGGAGTTAATAAAGTGAAGTAAAAAGAGACGGATCGACCGGAGCAGGACAGATGTAGTTAGCAGAGAGATTCTGGATTGATATTTACATAACTATACAAGTTGAACTGCTGCTCTTCTCTTGAATCGGTGAGTAATCAAATGAATAACTGGAAGTGTGCGTGTTTACATATGGAAATGGACTTTGTGTGTGGTTTTTGTCTTTGTCAAGAAAAGACATGAAGTGGTTGTTGGCGTAATCGGTCGTTGACATTTAGTAATGGCAATTTGCATAGAAGTTGCAAACTAGCTGTACCAGTAACAAATGATTCATTGTTCATTTGATACAGATTAAGGGAATAAAAATGAATACTGCTATTTTAGTCTTCATATTTAAAGTAAATTAATTAATTTCGATTTCTATTTGTTTAATATTGCGTAATGCATTTTTGTGTTTTATATTGTTGCTGTTTATGTGATTGTGTGTGTGTGTGTGTGTGTGTGCACGCGTTTTTGTGACAAATGAGGACATAAATTTGTATAATGACAAGGGTATGACATAGGTATTACAAGTAGAAGGTGACTTTTCAGGACATTACCCCATGTCCTCACTTTTCAAAACGCTTATAAATCACACAGAATGGAGTGTATTGAAAATCTGAAATAGCACAAAGTTTCCTGTGAGGGGTAGGTTTAGGTGTAGGGTTGGTGTAGGGCAATAGAATATACGGTCTGCACAGTAGAAAAACCATTACGCCTATGGGATGTCCGCACTTTTCACAAAAACAAACCTGTGTGTGTGTGTGAAGAACATTAGTGTATTAAATTATTAGTGTTTATGTGAGTGTTTATTACACATAGCTCAAAGATAAGACGTCCCATTTTGGTGACTTCATCAAATGAAATTTACAAAAGTGATTTTATGTACATAGAAAGCATATTAAATGCAAGTAAATTGTCTCTTTGAATGTTTCAAATAACGCTTGTGAAAATAAAATGGGTGAAATAATGGTTCATCGTCATACGTATTCTGACCACTTATTAAAACATATAAAGGAAGAAGTGATCATACAAAATGTTATTATATTTTAAATGATTACAAACTTGCTGACAAATGGGTATAACCTAGTGGTTTGAAGGATAGTGTAAAAAAGCTGGTAAAGATTTACACTGACAATGAATTAGTTTTGGGAGCTGCACTGTGATTCTCAAATAGAGTCCTTTAATCTCATCTAATGATTCTTGTTATAAATGTGCCTGACAAGATTTTTGGTATATGAACTGTTGTTACACTGAATGACATTTTAGTGAGTGTCTTCTGTAAATCATGGTAAAATGTATGATAGTCATTAATTTTTGCTTTAGAAAAAAGTACAGTTAAACAAGACACATAATGTAGTGGGAAAAAATTAAAGATGTATTAAACTTTTATTGCTTTGATGCTTGAAAACTCATTTTTGTCTTTGACTAACATATATACACAGATTGATGTATGTGAATGTGTTTAATAGGTTAAAGCCGAGGAGGCCGCTGAGATGACCAGTGTTCACGCTCCTCCAGCTCAGCCGGCTCTGCCACACACACAACTCATGCTAGCCGGCAGTCAGCTCGCAGGGGTATGTGCACACACACACACACACACACACACACACATACACACACACACAATGAGACAAACAGCTACTCTAGTGAAGATTTTAAAAACAAAATATTTTACATTTTTGAGGGGGAAAAAAACCTGTGTTTAGGTTTGCCAATGGCCTAAATTAAAGGGGTCATATGATGCGATTTCAAGTTTTCCTTTCTCTTTGGAGTGTTACAAGCTGATTGTGCATAGATAAGATCCCTGAAGTTGCAAAGACTAAAGTCTCAAACCAAAGAGATATTCTTGATCAAAGTTAAGACGTGGCTTGTGTACTGCAAACACATATTCATTACTGTGTCTGTCACGAGACTCTGTTCTCCTTTCGGGCTCTGTCTTTACATTTATTTTGAAAGATGAAGCTCGCGATTATGGTAAGGGGCGTTACATTTCCGACGCGTGCTTGCGGTGTTCGGCCAATCACAATGCTCTGGGTCAGCTGGCCAATCAGAGCAGACTGCGCTTGTCGGAAGGAGGGACTTTGTAGAAAACGAAGCGTTTGAGAGAGGCGGGGCATATAGGACCTACAATAATGTACAGTATTTGAAAAATAATGTGTTTTTTGAACATTAAAGCATGTCAACATATTCTGTTACACCAAATACACCAAATAATGATCTTTAAAAAAGCATCATATGACCCCTTTAAGTGCTTTTTTATTAATTAAGCACCAATGAGATGTTAAGTGTTTATTTTTTAAATAAATATAATAAATGATACATTTAATGAGTTAAAAAAATTATCAGATTAAAATGTTCTATCTTGATTATTAATGTGACATTTTTACAAAATTAAACATTTTAATTATATATTTTTATTATGCAAATGACACATTTTATACATGACAATTTTTTTTATTAAAATACTTTCCTTTTTTCCGTTGCAATATGCATAGACAACTGTAAGCAAGCCATTCATACACTGTAAAAAAGATTTTTTAAGTTAATAAAAGTACTATTATAGAAAAAAAAAACTATTTCAGTCTTTCTACTTCAAATTGTTTAATTAAGTGTTGCTTGCCAATTCTTTGTAATTATTTCAGTGTAGTTTACTTCGAACGTAAAGCATAAACACAGGCTTTGTGGCACTTTTATTTAACCAATAGTACAATTTAGGGCAAAACGAGTTGTTTGCTCTGGAAATAAACTTATTTTTTATTTGCTATATTATGTAATAATAAATCTCAATGAAAACAAATATGGTGTTTATATGGATACAAACAGTGGAGCATAGCTAGCAACACCAAGGTCATGAGTTTGATTCCCTGAAGTAAGAATTGATAAAAATTTGTATCTTGAATGCAATGTTAAATATAAACGCATCTACCAAATGCATAAATGTAAATGATACACGGATCTCTCGCTTGCTCTCTTTCGCGCTCTCTCTCTCTTTTGCTCTATGCTTGTATTAACTAAATGCAACTACATGGCTTTTTGTAACTCAACCGGGCTGTGGATCTTAGGCCCTGCTTGCTTAAGAGAAGGTGCTTTCTGCTTGCTGACGCTGTTCTTTTCTCCATCTTTTCTCTTCATCCCTCGCTCCTCTCCTTCCTCTCTCAGCTGGCTGCTCTCCTCCCTGCACAGCAGCAGCTGTTGTTGCAGCAGGCTCAAGCGCAGCTGTTGGCCGCAGCCGTGCAGCAGTCGAACGCTGCGCATGCCGCCCACGCAGCCGCGGCGGCCAATCAGCAGCAGCAGACGCAACAGCAGCAGGCCAATCAGGCAGCAGCACAAGCCCGGTCTCACGCCAAACCTGAGCAAGCTCCGCCTCCACTTCTGTCCCAGCCTATCCAGCTCACTGCCCAGGTACCTTCAGCCAGGGGCGTAGCCATCAATTCAGAAGTGAGGGGGACAGAAATGTTTATATATATATATATATATATATATATATATATATATATA